TGTGGAGATAAGAGTGTCTGTCTGCCTGTTTGTCTGCCTGTTTGTCTGCCTGTCTGTCTGCCTGTCTGTCTGTGTGTATCTGTGTGTTTCTGTTTGTCTGAGTGTCCATCTTTGTGTGTCTGTCTGTCTGTCCGTCTGTCTGTCTGTCTGTTGAGGTGTTCAGATTTAACTGTAATGTTTAGGTTTATTCTTATTATTTTCTTTCTATTCCATTTTCTTTGTGTGTGTTTTCTGTTTCTCCTCTTCCTCATTCTTCCTCTTCCTCCTCCTCTAACCATATCCTCCCCTACCCTTGCAACGCTTGGTCGGGGAGGAAGGGTGTGGAGGGGAGATAGAGAGGTTGGGGAGGAGGGGTGAGAGAGGGAGGGAGAGAGAGGGATGGGAGGGGTGTGGTAGCTATTGACAGCCACCTGCATAATTTACCCCCCAGACGAATCTAAAGCATCTCCCTGCCTCCCCTTCCCTCACCCTCTCCCCTTCCTTCACCCTCTCCCCTTCCCATCTCCCCTTGCATCCCTTTAATTCATCCTCCTTCCCTTCCATCCTCTCCCTTCCTTTCACAGACATTCCACTCTCTCTCTCCCATTTACATCATATCTCTCTCTCTCTCTCTCTCTCTCTCTCTCTCTCTCTCTCTCTCACTTCGAGAGAGAGAGAGAATGTAGATTTATCAAACAAGAATGTAATTATACAGGATAAAGGGAGGAAGTAGAATATAATGAGGAGAGGGACAGAGAGGGGAAGAACGAGAGGATTGATGATGGCAGGAGACAGATGAGGGGAGGTAGTAAATGAGGGTATATCGACAGATGATGAAATAAACACCGTAGAGGAGAGAGAGAAGAGGGAAATTGAGTGAAAGAGACAAAGAATAATAATAGAAGTATTGAAAAAGGAAATATATCTCAACATAAAGGGAAAAAAATATGTTTGGAACTACTGTATAAAAGATCATTTTTATGTTCACAAGTTAATGTAAGAAATAATTATTAATTTTTCGGTAAAGGAATTTTATTTTTTTTTTCACGATCAGAAATTAAGGAAATAAATCAAATTAAACTAGATAAATAGTGACGAGTGACCAAAATTATCTCATCCACACGCTCAAGAGACAATTATTCCTCGGGTTTACAGAACATCCATTAGTCAGGTCGGTAAAGGCGGGGCATTGGGTTGACTAATAGACAGAAAATAAAATCAATAATGCAATGTTGCAGATTGAGAGAAGGACAAAGGCTCTGTGATTCACTTCCGAGTAAAATAATTCATGTTGGCCTTACACGTCGTGCGTAACCACCCAGCTTGTGACTTTACGCAACTTTGACTCATGCATACCCACCCAGATAGTGATTTTACGCAGTGCCGAATCATGCGTAAGTACCCTGCCAGTGACTTTATGTAGTGCTGACTCATGCGTAAGTACCCTGCCAGTGACTTTACGCATTGCTGTATCTTCCATAAGTACCTACCCTGAGACTTACGTCACTCTATGCGTCTTGCGTAACTCCCTCAATCTGTGACTTAACGCCGCTCTCGGTAACGCGAAGGAGTATATGTGTGTGCCCCCCCCCACCCCCTCCTCATTCCAGACTTGTACATGTGTTCTGGATGAATACGAAGAAAGGGAAACAGTTCATGAATAGTCGATGGGTCTCTCTCTCTCTCTCTCTCTCTCTCTCTCTCTCTCTCTCTCTCTCTCTCTCTCTCTCTCTCTCTCTCTCTCTCTCTCTCTCTCTCTCTCTCTCTCTCTCTCATGTGTATATTGTAGTCATAATGTTGGTTTCAGTTACAGAATTACAAGAGGTTGGTAATGGTTACAGTATTATTCACAGTGCATAATGGTCAAGAACAGTGTAATAGGCATGATAGAAATATTTAACAGACATGACAAGGATTTTTAATAGGCGTAAGAAATACATTATATAAATAGCATGACAGAGGCATTAGAGGCATGACTAGATTATAATTGGCATGGCGGGCATTATAGGCATGACAGACATTCATTAATTATTAGATATATGCTTATCGAAAGGGCATGATATCTCTGACTGTAATATAATGCATGATATTTCAGACATTATTGGCTATCTTAAGGCATGTAATTGTTATCGTCATTGAATTTCTGAGGAAACTATTTTATTCCTTAATGAAGAGGAAACCAGAAAGACTTGATTTGGTTTAAGGGACAAAAAATAAACTCTTAAGGTTTTAAAGAAGAAATTATTTAAAAAGATTCGTTTTTAGTTATAGAAGAATAAAATAAAATAAATATTTTTTTTTAATGGTAGAAGGAGTAAATATTGTTTTCATTGACAAAGAAAATCGTCTCTTGGGGTAGAATGAAAGATATTGTTTTTAGTTATGGAAAAAGATCAACGACTTGTTAGATAGTTTTAAAAGAAATTATCTGTAGGTGATAGAAGAAGAATTATTATCAGTGTTTATTGTTGAAGTAGAGACACAATTGAGTTCAGGGATTGTAAACAGTCAAAACATGTTATAGGAAAAGAGGAAAATAATAATCCTTGTGTAAAGAAAGAGAAAAAAAACCAGGTGTTGGGTAATACTAGTGTTCAGTGACCTTGCTTGCACGCATGTTGCTACTGAGTCTTCACTGCCGCTACTGCTGCTGTTGCTGGTGGTAGTAGGAACAGCGCCTATTGATTTTCAGGCAGGGGGTGACGGGGTGCAGGAGGCGTGTATTGCCGGGGAGTGTATCCCACGCCTCCTCCTGCTGTTGCTGATGTCTGCTGTCTGCCGCGTCTTCTGCTGTTTATTGGGCTGGTTCTTGCTGTTGTTGTCTCCCACGCCTCCTGCTGTTGCTTCTTGCTGTGCCTGTTGCTGCATTCCATATCTCGTGCTAGGAGTGTGGTCATTTCGGAGAGGAAGAAAGGGGAGTGAGAAAGGGAAAGAAAAAAGAGGGAGAGAGTAGAGAAGGGGAGGGAGAAACAGGGAGAGAGAAGGGTGAGAGAAGGGTGAGGAAGAAACAGGGAGAGAGAAGGGTGAGGAAGAAACAGGGAGAGAAGTGAGGGGAAAAGAAAGAAAAGGAGAGAGGAGGAGGGAAAAGGAAGAGAGAAAGAGATAGGAGGAGTAAGAGAATGAGAGATAATTGGTTGGGAAGAAAGAAAAGAGAAGGACTCGAAAGAAATATCAAGGAAGGAGTAAGAAAGACGTGAGGTATTAAGAACAAATGTCACGAGGAGGATTTTTTTCCCCTTTTGTCACTTTTATACTTTTTTGTTAATTTGACTTTTTACACAGACACGTTTTTGTAATTTTTTTACTTTTTTATTATTATTTCACCATTTTTTCACGACTTTCATTTTAATAGTTTGTGACTCTATAGTTTTTTTTAATAAATTTGTTTTACTTTGTGTTTGTTTTTATTACACTAAGCGGTTTTGAGCTGTGTGTGTGTTTACTTAATAGCTGGTAATAGCTTTTGTGCTTGGTGTTATTAAATGCATATTGTAACTCACTATTTTAATGTTTTATTTTTTAGTTCGATATTTCCTCTTGTTTGTATATTTTTAAATCTTTTTGGAAATTTATTATGTAATTATTTTATTTACTTTTTTTAATTTTTACGTTATTTACCATAGTGTTTTTATTAAATTTTAGTAAAGTTTTTATTTTACTAAATGTATACCCTGTTTTGACGTATTTTTTAAATGTTTTTAAGTGTTTATAAAAATTTTGTTTTTTATTAATGTTTTTTTTTAATTCATACGTTTTTTGTGTGTTTTCAATTTGCATTTTATTTTTTATTTTTACGTATTTTTATAATATTTTTAATTGTTTGTAGAAATTATAGTTTTTATTAATATATTTTTTTTTAATTTATAAACAGTAGTTTTATTTAGTCTATTCACTGTTTTTATTTGTCAGTTTTTTTTATCCGTCTTGTTAAAACAAAAAAAAATAATGTTTCTATATAATTTTCTTTCGGCTCTTGTTGAATGTGTCTGTTGCAAGAAAAAAATACATACTGTACAATACGTATATATATATATATTTTTTTTTTGCATTTGCTTGATCGTGAACGTTGTTATTATTGTCTTTTTTTCTTTGCTGTATTTTTGCATTATTTAAAAAGAGTGTTAATGTGATTCATGTTTGTTATTTTATTTCATGTTAATTTGGTAATGTTATTTTAACCATAAAGATGTTAGATAAATGTTAATACAGCAGAATATATTTGTATTTTGATTTGATTTAACAAGTAATTTTGTTTCATTAAAAAAATTAAATTGGAAATATTATATCAATTTGTTTTTAAAGAATATATTTGATTTTTTTTAATATATCACATTAAGAAATATATATGAAATGGCTATAATAAGTGAATAAATTAACTTTAACTGGTTTTATTTTTTATTAGACGATGATTATAATACTTGAACACATGTATAGTATTTATATAATATTTTTATCTCAATATTAAAAGAAATTCCAGTTATTTAGAGATATATGAATATTCTGTTTATTTTATATCACTGGTATATTGTTTTTTTTTCTCGAGTCATTAGTATTTTTATATATCTATGTACAGTATATAGAAATTTAATAGATTTATTCCACAAGCTTAGTATTGCACATTGTAGTGATTAATTAGCATGGTTCAGGGAGTAGAGGAACTTGTAGAGAAAAGATGCATTTTTTTTTTTACCATTTTAGTGGTTTAAGAGATGGCCTGGTTATGGTGTGATGTTGGCACGATATTGTGTTCCAGGGATGACCGTACACACACACACCCCACACACACACACACACACACACACACACACACACACACACCCACCCACACACACACACACACACACCCACACACACACACACCCACACACACACACCAGTATCGTGCCAGCGTGGATGCCATGACCCTCAGCCTCTTAATCCCCAGTTTCTCCGGCACTCGCAAACATGCCAAGCAGCAGCAGGTGATATTGTGTTTTATAACCTATTTCCCTTCTCTCCCTTTTTATTATTTGCGGCATTAGACTATGGTAAAGAAGAGGCTGGATGTGAGTACAATATCTTATTACATCTCGGACCAGATAGAGAATATATAAACACACCAGGAGCAAGCAGCAGCAAGCATCAACAGCACTGGCTTATATCCCTGCTCTCTCTCTCTCTCTCTCTCTTTCTCTTTCACTTTCACTCACTCTCACTATGCTGATCTGGGTAGAGTGAGGGTTGCTATGAGTGTGTGATGCACCTCATTCACTCACTCACTCACCTTAGATGGTTAGGGTAGAGTGTGAGTCATTAAGAGTGTGTGAGTGGATGGATTTAAATCACTCTCACTCACTCTTGATGGTAATGTGACGCAGCCATGGTAATGTGACGCAGCCATGGTAATGTGACGGTCCCATGGTAGTGTGACGGTCCTATGGTAGTTATAACATTCATTCCTTATCATGGTAGAGTGTTATAACCCCGCCTCAACCCATACCCCCTGGATAAGAGCTTCTTTTTTTTACCATCACCATACTACCATAGTTAACTGGGCCTCCTTCCATGGTTGTGTCATAAGAGAGAGAGAGAGAGTTAGCGAGGCAAGACACCACTCAGCACAATGGTAGAACATGGTAGTCAAATTATAACAGCGTATTGACTTGCCGAACCACGACTGCACATGGTAGTTTGGTTACTGATAAAGACCATGGTATGCAATCCTCAATAAAGCATATGGTAGCTATATCTAATTCATGGTACTGTGATTTATAGGAATATGGCAGTTTACGATCTTTAAAACCACATGGTAGTTAATGGTAGTTGAGAATAATTTTCAGTAATGGTAGTTTCCGATCTTTAAAAGCACATGGTAGAGTATGGTAGTAAGAGTGTAAATCATGGTACTGTGATTTTTAAGGCGTGGTATTCTTTTTTTCTAAGGATTCTCATGGTAAATATGGTAGTAAAGAACAGATCATGGTATCAGGGAAATTATTCTTCACAGTACCATTGATATTACATGATAGTGTGATGGTAGATATTAAATAAAGATTCAGAGGCACATGGTTGTTAATAGTAGATTGGTTGTATATTTCACACAGGTAGATTATGGTAATTCATGGTAAGTGGTTGTTTGATCCCTTGAGTACAATGACTTAACCCCTAGAGTCCAAGTAAATTTTATTCATAGGGTTAAGACATTGTACTCAAAGGGTTAGAATATCGTATTCATTATTCATATTCATTGTACTCAAGGGGTTGACATCGTACTCGGGTTTTAAGAATACCGTACTCATTATATTCAAGGGTTATATCTTTGTATTTATATCATTGTATTGAAAGGGCTAATATATCTTTTTCAGTAAGCTAAGTTATCGTACTCAGGGTGTTAAGTCAATGTATTCAAGGGGTTAAGTCATCGTACTCAAGGGGTTCGTTTAGCCATCGTACTCAGGGGTTATAGTTATCGTACTCAAGGGTTTCAGTACTCCACATTCTGCTTCAAACTCTGACATCACCTTCACTAGAATTGTGTGACCTACTTGGTACATAAGATCTAAATTCTAATTGGCTCGTCCCTTACAATTTTTCTCGTAACTAATTGGCTGACTAAGAGGTGTAAAATAGAACGCCTGGAAAAAAAAAGTTCACTGAGAAATTCGATATTAACTCACTGCGTTCTTTAGCACCAGTTAAGAGGAGAGAAAAGAACTTACAGAATCGTGACGAATCCAAAATGCGCTCTAAAGAATCGTGGTGAATCCAATGTGCTCTCTGCGTTAACTAATACCAAGTTCTTTTCAGTAATATCAAAGTTTTAATCTCACCCAGAAATCACTTGTGAATTTGGATAAGATGAGGGGAAGGATGATTAATTTTCTTGCGTGTGCCAACGTTAAACTCGTGAGTGTATGAGTGAGTGAGAGAGTGAGAGTGTATTAGAGTGTGTGGGTTTTGCTTGACGTATTTCCAACCATTGCTGTGGAACATCTTGTAGTGTTCTTCTTCATTTGTTGTAGATATGTTAGTCTGTCTGTGTCTGTGTCTGTGTCTGTCTGGTTCCTCATCAATTCCAGGTATATATGTCTGTGTAGCAGGTCTTTGTCTGTGTCTCGTGCTGCTTCCTTGTCCATGAATATCCTGCCGTATGTCTACTCAATTACAGGTATATTGGTCTATCGCTGTCTGCGTGTGTGTCTGTCGCGCTCTGGTACTTCGTGTAATTCTGCCCCCGACCTTGTATGCCAGAAGCTCTCTCGTGATGACTTTTGAGAATGAATGAGACTCCTTGTTAACTTTTAATGAGTTCTTGTAGTTCAGGTCTCAACTCGTCTCGACTCTCGGTTTATGTCTCTAGGTCTATAATCATTGGTTCATGAAGTAACGGATGGAATGGTTCAGCGTGTTTCAACCACTAATAAAATGATTCTTGTGTTCTTGGTTCATTCATTGGTTTTCAGATTATATCATTCTTAGTGGTTCATGAAGCAGCGAGTCTGGTGGTTCGCTGCCAGGTTCCACAGCATCTCGACTATTCATTTGATGGTGACCGCAGCTACCTGAGCGGTCATTAAAGGGACCGCAAGTCTATTATTTGTCATAATTTATCGGTGGATCCAAGACCTTAAGTAATCTTATATTGTTGCTTATTAAAGGCTTTACAACCTTGGGGGCGTGGTGGTGTGTAGTGATGGTGGTGATTGTGGTAGTGGTATGATGATAGTGGCGGTGGTGTGATGATAGTGGCGGTGGTGGTGGTGGTGGTATAAGTGGTTATGGTTGTGGTGATAGTGGTGGTGATTGTGGTAGTGATAGTTGTGGTGGTGATTATGATACTGGTGTCATAGTAATAGTGATGTAAAAAATAGTAGTACTAGTAGTGGTAATGGTGGCTAGTTCATTGTACTCAGGGGATTGACATGGTACTCAAGAGGTAAAGTGTACAGCTCACAGTACTCAGGAGTCGTAAATCTACCGTTGTTAGTTATAGTCTACCTGTTGTTTATTGCAAGATATACAACATGCAATATTTTGTGCAGTTGAATAATTGCATTGTTATCCATTTATTGTTTTTCTTGTGTAGTTTTCCATTTATTTTTTATTGGTTTATCATTATTTTTGTTGTTATTATTATTAGAAAAAATAATTTATAACTTAACGTTGAATTCAATCTCAGTTTTCTTTGCGTTGTAAGTCTTTCGTTAATATTTTATGTAGCAGAGTGCCATTTTGTGTTGCCTGATGCCCCGTCTTCTCGTCTTCCTGGAGGCGATGGAAGAGTTGGTCATTTATGCAGAGAGAGAGAGAGAGAGAGAGAGAGAGAGAGAGAGAGAGAGAGAGTGTGTGTGTGTGTGTGGACAAGTCAGACACGTCACAACCGTAAACATGACCTACCATTACTTTCTAATGTCCTGCGTCCCTTTGTTTATTAGCCGCTCGATGTGCTTACTAATGCATACTGATGTTCTTTTGTTTCTCGCCTGTATCTTGGTGTGATAAATGAGGGTCTGCTGCTCATTTGTTTTGCCTGGTGTGTGTAGGTGAGGGTCTTGTTGCTCTTTTGTTTCATTTGTATCTCGGTGTGTTAATGAGGGTCCGATGCTCTTTTGTTTCGGCTGTTTCTCGGTGTGTTAATAAGTATCTGATGCTCAATTGTTTCGCCTGCAGCTCAGTGTGTTAATAAGTGTCTGATGCTCTTTTCTTTCGCTTTTATGTCGAAGTATTTATGACAGTCTGATGCTCCTTTGTTTTGACTTGCATGTTGGTAGCCAATCAGAGGCTCTTAATTCTTTACCATGTGTATAAACGTCGTGGTCACTGTGCTTCTTGTTTATTGTGTGACGTAACCATTGTATTATTTATCCTGTGTTTTATATTTGTTATATACTGTTATGGTAACTATGTTTCGAGAGCTTAAGTAAATTATTTATGTATTTTATATATGTTTATCTTGGTATAAAGTTGTAGATACGGGACGTCCCTTATTTGTCAGATAAGAAAGAAGTTAGTATTCCTGCACTCGGTCAAGCTGCAGGTAATACTAATTGAGGTTTTATTTGTATAAGTAAGAGCTTACGAGTAGTTTTTTTATCTGTGACTTGAAGTTGTCTGATGCTCCTCCATGTTTGTCTTGCAATTGGAAGGAAGGAGTTACCTAATCCAGGCTGGGGAAGACCACGAAGCCTTCCTTGTGTTGACAGTGATAACCTTGGTCTGGGTTTATGGAGATTCTGTGTGCTAAGTCGCTCGTCTGAACACTGTTAAAGAGAACATGGCTAGTTAAAGTAGTCTCTCAATTATAGTTCTGATACCGAATTTGTCTAGTGAAGGTAGAGTCTCAGTACAGTTCTGATGACATTTTTTAAGTCGTAGTTTCAGCTTAGAGTCAGGAAGATGTGTCCTCACGTCTCTAGTTACGAAGAAAATCTAAACTTACGAACCTTTAGGAAACCAGATTCTAGGCTCTTCCTCACAAAAGGTACATGAGTTGAATTTTCATCTTAAAGTAGGTAGATGGTGGGAATGCATTCGGCTAGTCTTCTGAACCCCCTGTTAGAAAGACTATATCCCCAGTGGCCTTCGGAAATGCACTGAGCCTCTTACCGTAACAAGAAACTCTCCTTGATCCTCAGTTTCAGGGAGGATATTAACTTAGGGAACTCCTTGAGGACCCAGCCAGGCCTTGTGATGTCTTAGTGGTGGCAAGTTTGTGAGGCGGGTTATGGCCTTGTGTGTCTGTTATGATGGAGGGACCTGTGCATCCTTGCCTGTGGTGGTGGTGGTATTATTATTATTATTATTATTATTATTATTATTATTATTATTATTACCGTGACTTGTAATTATTTCGCACTGGGGAAAATATATTTATTTTACTTTAGACAAAAAAATTGCTCGAAATTTTACACTAGAAAGAATTTTAGCGCGAGTATATTGCATTTAACAAGCCAACAAACTAAACCTAATTTTGTATTCCTGTGCTTTGAGGCATAAATATTTTTCCTGTGTGTTTTTAATGGCTTTTGAAACCCCCCTCCCCCAGAGTTATTTTCCAACGTGCTCCTCGTTAATTATTTTGTCACGTCTGTGTTGCGTTCGTTTTAGGGGACGA